CCCCAAAACCCCAAAACCCCAAAACCCCAAAACCCCAATTGGGTCATAATCTATTGAAAACAATATTTTGACATTATCTATATTTTTTCACCAACATTACATCTTTAAACTTATTCTTCAAGAATACTTCCTTGGCAAAGTCTTTATCAAGCTGGGTTTCATCAAGGTGAAACTTCTGTAAGGAACTCTTCAAATCAGACTTCGAGAGACTCTCAATAAAATTAGAGAAGCCTTCTGGTTTATTCACCCAATTACTAAATATCGATCTAGCACAATCAGAGGTATGGAGCTCTTCGATGGTAGTTCGTCTTAAGCATTTAGAGAGATCAATAACCTCAACGAAATTGAGTTTGCAGGAGCTCAGCCTGACTTTCATGATGTGCTTGACTAGCATCATAAGTCTCTTCATCTGGGACTCATTGATTATTAAAAAATAGAATGTAATTACTTTCGTGACTTTATAGCTAACCTGAGATAATCTCAGGAGCAATCTTCTTGAGTCTGAAAGCTCATTTAATGATACACTAAAACATTGAATTCTACTTAGGAATCACTTTTTGAAAAATGCATCCTTCCATTTTCTCGTAAAGCTTACATTAAGCCAATTAACTGTTCTAAGAGAAGGCAGAGTCAAGGACTTCATCTTCTTGGAAACTTTAAGGTGTTGAGGCTGAGCAAAATTAAGATTCATTGAGCGACTTCTCTCAAATGTCGCCCAACTATCAAAAAAGGCCTTATAGACACCGTACCATGCCTTTAATTGTAAAACTTCACACTCCTTTAAATGAATCGAGAGGGCTCCCTCCAATTTAATGCTTTCTTGAGCTATTTTGTCCCAGTCTATATTGATTTTAGAGGATTATTGTAATGTTTCCAAAATATGTTGCCTTTCCATCCTAAAAATAAAGACCCTATTATGTAACCATGAAAGTAAAGCAATTATCTATCCCCTTGATTGCTGTATTACACTCTTCTTCAGTTGGACTGTCAAGCGGTTGGTTTCTAGAAGAATTTTGAAGATAATGAAACATCTGGCAAATCAGTGATTCTGTGTAGCTTTAATAATTATATTTTTAATCCAATTTGTACTGTCAAGCTGGGGTTTTGGGGTTTTGGGGTTTTGGGGTTTTGGGG